AAGATTATGTTAAAAGGAAATAAGTGTGAGAAACTTTTTTTAAAGCTAACATCGATCATCAAATGATTAGGTTTTTTTTTTTTAGTATTATGAATTTAAAAACAGACGTCTTTGCTAGCCACAAAATGCCAAGTTGAACTATGATTATAAAGGAAAAAAAGATGCATTTTTAACGTTTTTTTTGTGAGGGATAGTAAGTCTGTCGGGATACTTAGTTTAATACATTAAGCAGGTTTAAGATTTTCGTCTTGACAATTTGAATTGAAAATACAGATTGCACATCAATTATTTCAAGTCATTTGTGTAGAGAATAATTTACATATGGAATTATTTTAAAGGGTGAATATAATTAGATTTAGATAAGCAGATATGAAAAAGAAATTAATATTAAGGGTTGCTTTAAGCTCTCCCACAATTTTTTTCAGCTGTCAGAAACATGGTTTTCAGCGAGTCAATTTAAAGCAGTTTCTTATAAGAACTATACTGAAATTAGTATCAGTATTTAAAGGGGCATAAATGAGTCAATACCATTATTGTGTTCATTTGTAATGGAGTTTTTGATCTTAGATTCATTGACAGGATAGTTGCAGAATATTTTCAACTTTTGATAATTACACTACAATCACCAGTTTAAATAGTGTACAAATTATATAAAAATTTGAAGATTAACTAAAATCAAAATTCAAAAGATTTTGTTGATAGTATGTGCTTGTATAATTTCAAACACTTTCTTTGTTTATTAAAAAATTTGCTTGTAATTTTTCTGTGCAATTTTGAAATTTATCCTGTTGCTTGTATGCAAGTTCTTTTTTTTTTTTTTATATATATTAAAGATAGACTTTTTTAAGAACCCAAAAATTTAATGCTATCTTAAAGAAGGGATTTTTTTTTTTTTTTTCAATGGTTTTGTTTGTATGGAAATTCAAAAAGGAAATAATTCAAGGGACAGACAGGGGGAGATGCCGAGAGAGACAGACAGAGAGACAAAAAACAAGAGGGACTCTCTTTAATGAATATGTGCCAGACAAATCTCAGCTTTATAAATTTAGACTACTAAAAGCTATAGTTCCCACACATAAAAATCCTAACACGAAATGTTAGGGTGGAAGAAAAACAAATCAAACCTAACACATGCATTGAAATGATTTCAAATTAAAAAAAAAAAATTTACCTCACCTTATCTCACTTTCATAAGAAAGAATTTCATGACAAGGAGAAATCAAAACCTCTTACACTTATCTAAACAAATTCAATTACTGGCTAGGATTGAAGAAAGATTCTCTTAATACTAAAGCATTTCTAAACAGATTCAGTCACTCAAAGAAAATATTAACTGTTTTTGCAGGGCTTACATGAATTCTCATTTCAAATTTAGTCACAGAACATCTAGCATAATTTGTATTTCCAGTTCAGAGACTAGTTTTTTTGGGGGGGGGGATACAGGACATTTAATAACATTTAAGCAAAATTAGAAACTCAAGGAAAAAATATTCATTGAATAAAGTTGTGAAAAATACATATTGGCTCCTAAAACTGATTTCATGGTAGACCAATGAAGTAACAAACCTGATGATCAAAAATTATAATCCTATTTTTCATTTTTTATTAGAAATATACAAAAAGAAGGCTGAATAGCAAGAAGTTAAAGCAGTAGAGTGGGGGGAAGAAAAAAAAAAGAAAAATGCAATAAGAGTAAAATGTATGAGCAATTTATGAATAAAAGTGTTTTATTAATTTATGAGCATGTTTACTGGAGGGGATTTGTTATAACAGCTTCAAAAGGCTGAGATTTGTTTTTGTTTTTTTTTTTTGTTATTTTCATTTCACTTAAAAGGATCAACAGGTTACTGTTGTTATTAATAGATCACAATAGTCTTCAGAAATAGCAACAATATACTATAATAATCCTGCCAAGCTTTCACTTAGCATCAGAATACTTTAAAGTTGGAGTCAGGTTTATACATCAATCTTTCTCAATGAAAAACACCCACGTAATCTATACACATGCGCACGTGCACACACTCCTGTAAAAGAAACAAATTTTATCAATCCGAGTTTTATTTTTGGTTATTGTCCTTTTCGTAAAAAATTATGAAATGAAAAACATTTAACTTGCACATCAATCCATCTTTGATAGGAAAAGGAAGAGCCTTAAGGGCTAGCGGACAATAAGAAGCTTGAAGTAATCACTCAGGAAAGAAGTGCCACTGAAGAGAAAGGTGGGGTTCATGCACACTAAATAGTTGGTGGACCTACCCTACTAGCACTTAAGTCACAGGGTAAAAGGATTTTTCAGCCAAGCTGTGAAGAGCAAGAAACTACAACAAAACAACTTGGAAAGATCAGTGCATAGTATATAATTTAAATAAATAATAAAAACGCAATCATTACACCCTTTCCAATGTTCTCTCCAAAAGAAAGCACTAAGGAAAAAAAAAAAAAACAAGAGGATATTTGTATTTATTATATTAAATCTTTCTACAATGGCAGGATGAATAGTCAATGATAAACGACCCAGAAGCTTAGAACAAATGTTGCTAGTTTGTATAAAAACATAAAATTTTTTGGGTATTTACTAGTTGTCATCATGCAATTTTTTTTTTCATTTTTATACAATGAACAGGTTGAACATTTTTCTGTTACATTTTTTTTTTTAAAACCTCCAGCCCCATTTCTAAAAAAAAATATTTTGCAAGAAACCACTAATTAATTATATATATATATATATATATATATATATATATATATATATATATATATATATATATATATATATAAGCACACTATGTTGGAAAAGAAAATTTGAGTATCACAAAGGAAAGGGAGTCCATGAGTAGGCAGGTGGAGAATTTGCAAATAATTCTTTTAGATTATGACAATGCATTTCACCCTCCTCCCCCCACAACTAAGAGATCAGTACCAATTTTTGCAGTTTGTTTGCTTGGTGCCAATCTTCCACACAGCTTGAAGGGAGGGAATCTCCTCAAAAAAAATTATTTCAAAAATATTAGGTTGAATCATAAGTAATTTCCATTTTGGGGAACCAATTGTAATATTTTGAAGAATGAAGTGGAGTTGATAAACAAAAAAACAGAAACCATTTGACTCAACCTTATATATTAGCTAAAATATGCAACATTTTTATTATATATTTTTTAATTTTTTTTGTTTTTTTGTTTCCTCCAGTCTCTTAAATTACTTAGGAATTTACTTTTTATTGATAAATAAAAAAAAAAAAAAAAAATTAGTAGCAAAACGGACCCAATGCAACAGCACCTAGTAACAAAGATTCAATTACAAGAATCATCCAAGTTCCTGGTTTTATTTAACATCTGAAGTCAAAATTGATAGTTCTTGCAAAATGGTCATATGCTGGAAGGTAAACTTACTATGGAGGTGGCAGGGGAAAGTTAATGGGGGGAAAAAAAAAAAAAAAAAAAAAAAAAAAACAAGAGATGGGGAAACTTACAAAAAACAGATTGTTCAGTAAACCAACCAACTGCATGGTTGACTGATTACATGTTTCAATTGCTTTGAAATTCAAATTAGTATAACTACTATGTTTTCATGCATAATGCTTGCTGGATGGTTAAGTGCTTAACACTTATTCTGTAATTTAAAGTGCATACACCAATGCATTTATTTAAAATATTGTGTAGTTCACACCCCCATACTTCCAATCGTGATTTTCAGCTGCTGCTGTAGCGAACGAATTCTGAGATGGCAAACTGCATTGTTCATTTGGAATTGTTTGCCTTGCACAACCTAAGACCATGGCAAATTTCCAAATCACTAACTCAGTAGTCCAATTGAGAAGAGAGGTTCAACCACGCATTTACGTTGTTAAATTCTAAAATGAAGCACTTCTACATATTTACACCAAGTTAGCAGACATGGCGAGATTTTTGGTTAAATAAATAAAAAAAAAAAAAAGGAAAATAAAGTAGCCATATGCCTAACACATTTTAGATCAGTAATTTGCAATCAGTTTAAGTCTTAATGCAGAAAAATGATATACACCATTTTATCTTGCTATGACATATCTAATGTAAATGATAATAAAATATACATCATTCAAAATCAGTTTGAAATTATGACATTTTCATTTCAAGATATGTCTATGTGACTTATTAGAAACCTATTTTGGGTAAGTTAAAAAAAAAAATTAAAATGAAACCCAATTTAGGTGTCATATATATATATATATATATATATATATATATATAAAAAACTTTGAAAGACGTTTTCCTCCTCATTTTTTTTTTTATCACAAGCTGAATAATTACTTGATGTCATCGAAAAATCTGTAACAAAATGTAGAAATTTTATAAAAACTAGGGGAAAAAAAAAAAAAATTGAATTTTTAGCAATAGATGTATGAAGCAAAATTTTCACTAAACAATGCAGGTTTTGTTTTGGATAAAATCAGTTTTTGTTAGTCCCAGAGATATATTTGTCCAAATAACTGTTCCTCGTCCATTTCTAGTGCAACAATGACTACTAGAAAATGATAAAACTAACAAATGAAATCTTGAATGATTTTTTTCAACAAAACAGACTAAAAAGATAACCCAGCAAAGTCCAACTATTATAACTTAAAGTGTAAGGGAGGGAAGAAAATACCCTAACTAACCTATCATGGAAAGAGTAGTTATCGCCAAAACAAATGAAACATGTGAAATAAAATAAAAAAATTTGAAGATTTAAGAAAAGATTTTAAGTTAACTATGCAATCCATGATTTTAAGTTGTATTGTTATTGTTGCTACTACAGCAACAACAAGAGCCATTGCTTTTTCCAAGCTTGTTGTAGAGTGAGTAACCCACTGCCAACTTTCCTCACTATTGATCAATATATGAATGGAGGAAAAAATAGTGAGAAAGCATGGAAGCAGAATGGAGGCAGACAATGACAACATCACAAAACGTCATTGGAAGGAGAGATGAGATATAGAGAGAGAGGGTAAGAGAATGTGCCTCCAGCACGTCAGCTGAGATCACAGCGCCTATAGAACAATAAATAAGGAATTCGATTAGGGACAAACTTGAGGACATGGGAAACTGGAACCTGCCGCACAATGCTGTCATCATAACGCACCCAACCATTTAATCCACTATGGTAGGCATCAGTTGTATAGTGACCACCACTGGCAGCTTTGCCATGGTGAAACAGAACTGGAAAAAAAAAAAAAAAAAAAGTTATCAGAAATTCAGATACAAATGTTTTTACAAATTTCTTTAAAGAAATTTCACACACACGCAAAAAAGAAAAACAAAGAATTCATCTTATATAAAGGCTTAATGTAAATTGCTTAAACTTGTATCAAATCTGACATTTGTAACTTCACAACAATTGTGGGGAGAGTAACATGTACCTTATGAAGACAAAATAGTCACTTACATTAAACTTATGATAGTTGTTCACTAATAAAGATTATAGACTAATAGTTTTGCACTAAAATCAAAGAGCAATAAAATTTGAAGAGATGACTAAAAGCACACATGCACACACTTCAAATGGCTTTCATATATTTGTTATATGAAAGCACAAAATGATTTTAAAAATGTGAGTTTTTGCTTGTGGTTTAATGAGAAAAATAGGCCTATTTACCAGATGTTCATTACTGTTTAATGTACAACAGGTTAAGCAGATCAAATGATTATCAATGAAATTGAACAAACAATATATTATTACATACATTTTTAACCATTAGAGTACAGCATTAATATATGTAATCATTTTTGTTGTTACATGTTCAGTGAAGATTTTAAAAATATTTTTGGTCAAGCTGAATAGCATTTCAGTCTTGGAGTGAAAGCACTTCAATCATTTAACTGACAAGTTAAGTCGTAGAACAGAGAGAGGAAAACTTACCAGCAAAAAGTGTGTAATTACGTTGGTTTATGGGCATCCTAGATCTGATTGGTGACAACAAGTCTAAGAAAAAAAGAAAAAATTAATTGTTAAACCATGTTTTTTTTTTAGACATTCAAATTTAAAATTAGTTGGCGTACTAGAGTAGGTTGAATTTTTTTTTTTTTTTTAAATTTCTTTAGAAAATCAATAGTGCACACTGTACAAAAAGCTGGAGTTTGATATAAGTACTGACACCAAAAATTAAATTCATAGCTTTTAACAATGTTTGAGCATTTAGTTTTAAAGATTGTCTGAGAAAATATACACAAATAGCTAATTTCTGCAGGTTTTTCCTTACAAACTGACTCAGAGTTTTACTATTTCAAGAATAAATCCAAATAAAAGATTTTTTATATTAAATACATTAAATGGAAAATATATCAAGACCAGAATTATAATTATGAATCAAGCAAAATATGCAATATTTTATATATATATATATATATATATATATATGATAAATAAAAACTATAAAAAAAAAAAAAATCTAAGTGATAAGACTACTTAATGAATAAAATTTGTTAAATATTTGATAGATCATAAAATAAAAAAAAAAAAAAAGTAGATAAAAGTGTATATAACACCATAATACTGCTGGGAACAAATTAAAAAGGCTAAAGGTTTTAAATTTGCATTGTTTATAAAAAAATCAAAAAAAAAAAAATCATTAAAACTAGTACAGTGTATAACATTACATCATAATATAACTAAATTGTTCAGTATAATTTCCCTTTGAAGTAAATGATGGCGTTATTGGCACAATGATTTAGTAATGTGCTTGTGCCATGTATCTCGCCTATATACAATTTATAGAGCTTCAGGAAATTATAAATTTTATAAGGCTTTCACTGATCACCGGAATGAAATTCCAATGCTATTATTTTGAACCTGAACTTCCTCAAAAAATGCTAACAATTTGGAAGAAATATTTTGTCATTATTTATGTCAAAAACCCAACTTTCTAATGGAGTGCAATATCACAGTTCCAAAATCGACCTACCCTATTAACCAGATACTTTAAAACTGATAAAAAAGGTTACAAACAAAGTTGCTAAAAAGAACAAACCATAAACACTGTTAAAATGATAAAAGAATTATGGATATCAACTTAATGTGATCAAATAAAAAATGAAATAGCTTTGAAAACAAAAAACTGGTATGTTTTAGTTTTGAAAGTAAAGATTTTTAGCAGAAAAAATAGTGAAATGCAATTAAATGATTAAATTGCAGTTGATGCACAGACAAAAAAAAACAAAAAAAACTGAACTATCTACAGAGAATATCAATTTTATTTGTGTCATCTTACGTATATCTTTTCATTGTACTATAGATACCTCCCTCCTAATCTGTAAGGATTAAAAATATTTGAACATTGCCTAAAATAGAAGAAAATGAGGATTGAATATATAAAAAAAAAAAAAAAAAAAAAAAAAAAGATTTGAGATGAGACTCAAAGTTTTTAAAAAGAACTAAAGACAACTGGAGATGGGAGAAAAAAAATTAAGGGTTAAAAATACATAAAAGCCCAAAATGTCAACATTGAGGATTCATTAGCACTTAAAAAGTTATAAAAAAAAAAAAAAAATACAATGATTATAAGAGCCAAAAAGTGTAACAAAGATGATAAAAGATTAGAAAGTTGCATCAGAAAACTCAAAAGCCTGAAAACCAAAGACTGAAAGAGAATAGTTATCAGGATATTCCTAAATATCTAGAATTGTTAACTACAAAAGCAACAATAATACCCGTTTGAATTGAGTATTTTAATTATCTGATAAATTTTAACTCTTAATTTAATGAGTAAGCTCCACTAGTTCGTATACCTTTACAGATAAGACCTGCCATATCACAGACACAGGGTCTAATTATCATCATTCCCTTCATATTCCATTGGTATGAAGGAAGTTCCACCCAAACAGAACTGCTACTCTGTGAAATCAACTCCCAAAAAGGATGCATCCCAAATTACAACAATCTTAGACTCTTCAAATTTAGGGTCAACCATTACCTATCCTACATATAATCTGAACTTCCTTTTATATTCATACATCATTCAGTAATTCTCTGAGTGGCCCTTGGGCCTTGTAACACTATAATAAAGAAATAAAATCAATTAAACTAGTATTAAAATAATAACAAGCAAATTGATAAAAAAAAGCCTCCCATTTCTTGTTCTTCAGCAAAAACTACCAAATGCTTGTGATTAAAAAAAAAAAAAAAAAAAAAAAAAAACTTACCTTTGTTGATATCAAGGTCAATTGGATAATCAATCTTCTTCAGAACCTTTTGTATACCTCCATTTTTGTCATATATGAAGCATTTCAGATGAAGAATGAGAACAGGTGGTAGTTCTTCAAGAGTTAATCTTTTGGTAATTTCCACCTGACCAAAAAAAAAAAAAAAAAAATTTTTTTAAACATAATTCCAAAATAAAAAATTTCTTCATTTTTTAATTGTTTTACTAAATTAAACTACTGAGTCCAAAATCATACTGTAATTAAAAAAAAAAAAAGCTCATTTTAACTCCAGCCATTTCCAGTTCCAAATTGCCATGTTACTTTTGACAGTAATTTGGTGCCAAGTTGCCATGTACACCATAATACCATCACTTAAACATATTCAACCAACAGAAGTTATTTTTAAACAAATGACATGCCATGAAAGAAAACAGTTTCTCATGAACCAATTCTAGATTTCATTCAGCTATATAAATCCCTTTTAAGTAAAATTTGTTTAGAAGTTATGTCACTATGACAACTCTTGCGGTGCACACTGCAAGCCTTGCTGCACATCTCTAGATATATCTTCAATAGCAAGATATCAAATAGTAGAAATAAATGCAGCAAACCATATCTTTCATTGAGACTTAAAGACCTCAGCAACTGACATACACATTAGCAACCAGAGAACCTTTTTATAACCCATCAAAATTTAATATACAGCATTCAAAATTTGTTACAAATACAGCATTCAAAATGCACTCAAGAAAATTAAACCATTTTCACAAAAGAAAATTTCAACTTGAAGATTCATGGTTTTTAAAAATCTATCTTCAACTTTTTGCCAAAAATTAATGTTATGGTCGAACACAAAAGCCATGTTGAAATTTTTAGATTACAGCCTACAAGTGATGATCACTTCAACTGAATTGCATTGAAATTTTCATAAAAGTTAAACCAAAAATATATTTGCCAACACAAAAGTCATATGAAATCTTGATTGATATCAAAAATACTACTACAAATAATTTCATATTTCTTTTCTGGTATCATCTCATACAAAGAAATGTTTTAGCTCTATAGCAATCATTACCTGCAGGAAACAGTGCAGTATGTTACTGCAAGAAAATTTAAAGCCACAAAACAGTTAAGCTCAAAAGATGAATATTTTACTAGAATGGAAATTCACTTACATAAGATATTTACTTAGGTACCTCCACGAAATCGCTAAGAAAAGAGCATAGCTTGATGAAAAAGATGCCAACCTTGCCAGAAACAAAATTTTATTGTCTAAATGCTTACGTTATTATTAAGAGGAAAGACCAAAGTTTTTTTTAATTATTTTTAAAAAATTTCCTTCTTTTTAGAACATTCTAAATTTTGATTAAAAAAAAAAACTTTTTCTATTTGTATCAGCGGAACTAGTAAATAACAGACAATTTTTAGCAGGTTTTTTGGTATGACACACATTAATTTGAAAATCGTGCAAAAAATAGAAATAATTATCGGATGTTAATGAAACTTTCAGGAACTATTCACAGATGATCAAATTATTATAAATGTTTTTTTATGAAAGTCATGGTAGAAATATTTTTTTAAAATATTTATTACCCCCCATAACTAATTTTATGAAAACGCTAGAAATTTGATCGCATCGGTTTTAGTGATTACAATTAAAAGCACAGGGCTTTGAGGAATGCAAATCATGTTTTTTTTGTTTTTAATTGGATACGCAGTACCTGAAAATCAGCTCTGAATTGTAACATACAAAACTCAATAAAAACAAAGATATTATTTATTTTCAAATGCTTTTATTTGCTTTTAGTTGTTTTTATGAATATGGACAATATTTTCTGAAAGCAAAAAAAATTTTTTCGATGAAAAATGAATTTTTAATACAATTATTTGTTATTTCATTAATTATAATACATTTTACATTTAAGTTGTTAAAATATTATAAAATTAGTTAAAAGTCAGATCGGCTTTCATAAGTGTCCTTATGAGATAGATCTTTTTTTTGTTGTAAATTGTATCATTTTGACTAATCAGAAGATCCCCAGTAATTAAGAAATGTAATTTTGTGCTTATAATCGAGCTGTAATTATAAAATACGGAAGACCAACCAGAATATAATTAAGTTGCGTTATTTGAGCTAAGCATTGTTTTCCGCTGTTAAGGCCTTTACTTTTTATGAAACACGTGTGGAGAAGTTAATTTGATTTTTCAATTTCAACTGAGAAGGGTACCTACAAGTATCAGTATCATCTTATGAAATTTATATGATCTTATTTTTATATTAATCTCAGTTACGACATTTTTCCATAAATGAAATATCAAAATTAATAATAAAATGAATGCAAATATAAATAACAGTAGAATGTAATAAATGTACATAAAATTATAGTATTTTATGTACAATTCTGATAAAATTTCATAAGAAAGGTACCTATAAATTAATTAGACACCTTTCTTAAGAAATATGAAATTTAATGTCACTCTTAACAGTTTTATTTTAATTTCTTTACAATATATTTCCCATAAAGCATCATAAACGTAAAGGTGAAAGCTAAGTACAAAAAACAAAAAAAAAAATGATAATTGATATTTAAAAAAATTCCAAAGTCAGATTTCCAGTTTTTTTTTTTAAATGGAAAAAAAAAAGGTCAATTTTGCTGACTCAAAAAAAACTAGATTTTTAACGAAAATTTCGGACGTGCTAGGAACAATTAAAAATGGAAAAAAAATAAAAAAAAAATTTTGACCTTTCCTCTTAATAGTAACAAACATTTAGACGATAAAATTTTGTTTTCGTCAAGTTTGGCATCTTTTTCATCATGCTATGCTCTTTTTTTAGCGATCTCTTGGTGGTACCTATATTTACTATACAAATGTTTAAAATTTAAAAGGCTTAGGAAATTTTAAAAAGGCTCTGGAACAAGATAAATACAATATAAATTTTGGTAAAATTGATTGATAAATACAAACCTCAACCCTATAGGAAAAAACTAGCTATGAGAAGCTTCTAGAATTTATTTTCATATCCCCAAAGTATATGCATTTAAACTGACCTCACTGTTTGTCTTTGAGCATGTAAAACCATGTACAGCTTCTCTGCTGACAAGACCCTCAAGAGCATCCTTCACAGTTGATACATTAGGAGACTAAAAAAAAAAGAAAGAAAAAGAAAAAATTACATGATTAAATCTGGTTTACATATCAGAAATAGTTTTAGAAGAAAAGGAGATATTGTAGGATCCTGAATGTAAGTTTACCACAAAGGATTCTAAAACATTCAATAGATTTTTCTTAATCTTAATAAAAACAGTATTAAGAGAAAATTATGTTCAGACTTATGAACAACTGATGCACTTGCAAATCCTACTTCATAACTTTGCTGATTAAATGTTTTTGAAGTAGTGACATTTTATATTGAGAAATTTTTAATAGAAGTCATTGAATTGGCAGGTTAGTAATATGAGCCTAGTCTTTATCCAGGTGTTATTTTCTTTTTTCTTCTGTGGATTTTGTAAACTTTCCACTTTACTATATATGAAATAATTACAATATTGATGTATTAAAGTATTTTACACATGTAAATACTGAGAGCTACAAATTCTAAGTGATCTTGAATAAAAAGATAAATTACTAGATTTTACCTTATGGTATGAAGTTATGAGAATTTTTATTAGTGGATTTTCAGATGTTCAAGAAACTAATTTATTATGTTTCACAAATTCAATTATATATTCAATAATTTACCCCAAATTGTATAGAATTTCATGACTTTTCTCCCCAGTTTTCACAATTGTCTATCACACCTGACAGGTCGTCAAAGGCTGGCATCCTGTACTTGCACATATTTCTGGGGCAACCAGTGCTAATGTACCCATATTTTGGTGTCCATGGCAGAATGTCAATAAGATCATCCTTACTTCTCAAAGAAGTAACTATAATTCTTTTTGTCTCTCCAGAAAAACTTGGGACATGGTTGTAACAATAAGATTTCTCACACATCCTTAGGGGATAAGTAAATTCCTTTTAAGTCCACTTTATTATCTAAGTTTCTTAGGAAATTTGCCTCCAGTCCATCTTTGAGTCAACTTAAGTGTCAGAGTTTTCAGGATTTGCTTCCATCCCACTTTTGAATTGGCAAACAAAATTTTATCAATTATTTTAGATAAACATAAAAGGAGTCCTTTGAAGAAGCTGACCACCCAAAAAGCCAAATGGGTGGTCTCTTGTTCCAAAACACAAAGAGACAGATAGCAGTGATTGGACCCCAGCCAGTACCCATATAAGCAGAGAGAGGCAGGAAGTCAGTAAGTAGGTAGGTAAGTGAGTAAGTGCCCAGTGAGGAAGGGAGCAGTGAGCAGATAACAGTTAATCATTGAAGCCAATGGGAAAGATTGGAGGTTAAGTGAGAAATCGTGTTGTTGCTATTTGGAAATAGCAACAACGCGTCTTGAAAAGACTTATTTTTTGTGAATTTGATTATGGCTTGGATGTCATCACAGGTGCAGTGAATGATGAACAAGCAGACTACAATGTCAGAGTCATAGTGCTACTTTTTTTCTTTTAGGTTACTGTTTCCAGAATAGATTCAATCCAACACAGCATCTTTGTATATATGCCATATATATCTTTTTTTTTCTAATCTTTTTGCTAGTGTCCATAGAGGAACATCAGAACACGACAGATCTATGACATGGAAGAAGTCTCATTTCATTTTATCAAGCAGATTTCCAGTGTCTTGACATGGCACTTGTGCTTTGCCAATGGAAATGTTCACATAACCTGGTGGAAGAGATGTTACTTCCAAGATAAATGAACTTATAGAGCCTTGATTAAAAAGGACAAATTCTTAAACCTTGATAAAACTAGACACATAATACTACATATCAACCCAATAATGACTACTACTAAAAAGAAACTATCTAAACTTATAAAATTTGTCACAACTACTTCAAAAACAATAAGATTGACTCAACAAAAACTTAAGCAGACATCTACAAAATAAACTACAAAAAAAAGTGTCCCTAGAAATACATAGAGACATCTAAGAATTTAAATAGAGGATTATATGAAGATTTACAAAATATTTACATTCAATGCATTAGTAATTCAGTGTAATGGACTGGGCTACAATTTCAACTTAAAGCAATTTGAGACAAAAATGTATTGAAAGTGCATTATCAATAATCAACAGAACTCAATAAAAAGCATTATAATTAGATATATAGAAAAAAAAATTTAAATATCCACACATTTCAGAATTTAGTAGTAACAATTTTTTTTTTTAAATGAAAACTTCTCTAAAGTAAACTAGTTTAATTTTATTGGAAAATTTTAATTACTATTATGAAGATCAAAATATTTTCATTAAAAAAGCTGCTGAACTATTTTTGAATTTAAAATTGAGTTAATTCAATTATGAAAATACTTAATAGTAACCAGTAACAGCAGTACTTGTTAGTGTACATTAAAAGATGTACAAGTCAGCAAAACTTTAAAGATTATAAAATTTCAATCCTATACTTTCCACTTAGATTTTAAGTAAAATAATAGGAACTATTCTCAAGAAGCTAAACAAATGAATTTCAAGAAACCAAAATACCTTCTCCACAAATACTTGTACAAGATCATTAATCAATTAATCCTATTTAAACTTGATAGCCATTATTCCATTAGAGTATTCTTTTGACCATCAAAGAAAAAAAAAATGTTAGATACATTCAAAAAAATAAAGACTTTCAAATTGTATTACTTGAATATCTAGCTGCAAAGTGAAGAATGGCTCAAGAGTAGCAGATTCCCTTGATGCAGTTTGGTAGACAGCTGATCGGATCTGGCCAGCAAAGATATCTGCAACTAAGGTCCTTGAAAAGCTCGCCTGTAAAGCAGAAAATTGTTAAGTTTTGTATAGCTTCAATTTAGAGTTTCCAAACAGGGATATCAATCTTTAATTAGAGACCCACCCAAAAAAAAAAAAAAAAAAAAAAAAAAAAAAAAAAACTGACATTTAAAATGTCAATATCTAAGTAATTAAATGTGTCAAGCAAACAAAATTAAATAGGCTTCATGTTAAAGAAAAGATTTATCAAAATTCATACAAGATATTCAAAGGGATGTAGATTTTATAACCAATTTCATAAAGATTCACAAATTTTCAATATACACACCAAGTTCTATGTGAAGCAGCACACTAAAGCAATATTTTGTTATAAAGAACTATTGAACAATGATCAAACTAATATTTAATTACAATTTTTCTAAAATATACTTTTACAATTGTTTTTCTTATTGAAGATATACAAATTCCCAGACATTTAAATCTTTACATTTACCTTTTTTTTTTTTCATACTTCATATGAGCTTTCTTTGTTATACAACTTGTTGCAAATGTAATTACACTTAATGTAATATATAGGAAATCAAAATTTTAACAATCAGAAATAGATTGATTTTTTTTATAAATTTTTAAAAGTGACCATTTTATAATTTAAAAAATATACACCAGTAATAAAGAAAGACTATGTATAGAGTTTATAAACAGATAAAAGTATGCTTTTTTTAATATAGTATTTATTAACTTACATTGTGAGCAAGGGGATGTGATGATGTTAGATAAGCTAAAATTGCAATAAATGCAAAATTATGCAGAAAAAAAGTATGTATAAAGTGGATGTAAAAAGTTCTGTCTGACCAACACAAAAACTTTTGGAAGTGTTTTTGGTCAAACCAAAAACTTTTCAGAGCTCTCACACAATGTGCAATTGGCATAATGGTTAGCAGCTTGGAATGAGAAATCAGCAAGCCAAATTTAAATTACAGCCAAGTCTGTCCCATCCACTTCAGCACTAGCACATCATGAACGACCAAAGTACAACTATCAACATAAGACAAATACTAGTAGATAACAAAATAATCTACAGTACCCAATGCAAGGAAAGACTCAAAACACTAGAAGTTATTATGCAAAATAAACAGCCCACATTAAATGAAATATTCACCACAGAAGGTATCCTGACGTGCATATGATATAATTATTGTGCACACATATTTTATCAGTATTATAATAAAAAAATAAATTAAATAAATTGCATTCTTTTTTGTGTGGCCTCATTCCCAATAGCCATTACACATGATGCCATATATATTTTTACATATCAAAAACATTTTAAGAGAAAGATGTATGTAAAAGTTTTTATGTGATGCATTTCATCCTTTAAGACTTCATTGAACTAAGTTTATGCTTATATGACTACACATGCGCACAAATGATTGATGCTGGGAATATTTAAAATTAAAGATTATTTTTTTATGCGTTTTCAGTATAAAATCGAGCCAATTTAGATCCAATGTTTTTCAATGAATATGAAATACCCTATTTCATATTCAATGTGATACAAATGGTTCATAAAAATATTCCAAAATAGAAAGATGGCCCTACCTGATAAACCCAACTAATCAAAAAAATATTTTTCTACATACTATTACAACTATAATTGAAAAGAACTTAAACTCCACATAAAATTTTTCATAACTATGTCTAAAGCAAAAGACATTATACAAAAAACAATAAGCTAAAATTTGGAGGAATTTACATAATTACCTGTAATTGCTCCAAAGAATACATTGTAAAACCTCAAGGAATTTAAACAAAATATTATAAGACAAAAGGGATTTTTTATTACAAAACACATTAAATGCATTAGTTGCTTACCATAACAAGATAGATCACAATTTTGATATAAAAAAATGCTGCTCTAATAAAAAGAGAAAACAAGTCACTAATACAAAAATGTTTAAGTGCTTTAATTGCTAGATCCACAAAAAATTTGCGTTCAGGTTTTTACATTTCACAACTCTTGGCACATCTTAATAAAGTGATGGAAACAAAAAGAATTTAAATGAAATCAGCTAGATTATATATTCAAAACACATGGGGGGGGTCTTTAAATTTAAAATTCCCAACATTGCTCATTCATGTGCATGTGTAGTCGCATCAACAGTCTAATGAAAAATGCCACAAAAACGTTCATCTCCACTGTCACACACAAACACTTTAAAATACTTACAATTCATATTTTTATCTCCCTTAAACCATCCACCTCTATAAATGCTATTTAAGAAAAAAATTAGGGTATTTAACTCGGTTTGAATCAGTATGGAGGCATATTTTTCTTAGTAAGGACTTCTTGAGCTCTAGGCCATTTGACATTAATTTCACTAATGGAGATGTCAACTCAAACATTTGAACCCACTATAAATAATATCTATAAGAAATAAGCATGTATACAAGGGGAACTGAAAAGCTCTCAGCCCAACTAAGCTCTTCAGAAAAAAAAAATTGGGGATGAAAATTTTTCTACACAGCACTCACTAAAAATAGAAAAATTAAAATATATGTAAGACACAACCAGTCACTCTGCAAATATTTTATATTTACTTACAACTGAAAGACCTTACAGTAAATAATTATTCAGCATATCAGTCAAAAATGTGAAAGAGGGAAATTCCAAGACGAGCATGACAAATTTACATGGCAAGTGCAGATATCATTTATTTCTCAATTTTGATTGTCTTTCAAGCCTATTCTGCAAACAGGCAATCCTAATTAATTCAAGAGAAAAAACACATTTGTCAGTATGAAAGTTGCTTTTCTGCTGCCAGAACACAAACAAGGAGGGACAGAACAAAGAAAAAACATGTCCAAAGAAGAGGTAACAAAGAATTCCACCCAGGAACAGTGCAAACAAAGGTCAAAAGTATAAGAGACACAGAAAGCAAAGACAAACAAACAGGAAATCAGAATCATGTTCCGTACACTAGTAATGCTGGCAAATCAAACTCCCAAAACAGAAAATCCATCTGTTTATATTGAGCCCAGAAACATTGGTAATCTCACTATGCACAACACAAATCATTTGCATAAACAAATTCTAGGCACTGCTCAGCCCACCACCATGACCATATTTTTTTTTACAAGCAGACATTCTCATGTTCGCACCGGTCATCCTCTCCTACATATGCAGCACTCATATGTTGTCTTTTTGATTGAGGGGGATGGGCAGCCTAACCAAAAGGTAGCCAGCAGTTCAGCCTGCTTTTCACTTGTCACACAGTATCAATTCAATAGGCATAAAGAAAGGTAATGTATTAGATAGAGAGCACAATTTCTCCCCAAAAACCTATTAATATTTAAAACATCAAGCCATTATAACAAAAGTGGTTACTTAAAAAATTTTTTAATCACTGTACATTTAAAGATGTGTGTTGTGGTGTAATGGATATTGGCTCTGAGTGAGAACTCAGAGAGCCAATTTCTAATTCCAATCAAGTTCGTTATATTGAATCACACAAATACCTTTGGCTTCTCTCTCCAGATATGGGACAGACTGGTTTCTTTAGTCTTGGTTGGCAACTAGTCTACCACAGAAAGAAATGGCAGCCTACTGCAGGAAAAATTTGCTTCGTCAGTCATGTATCAAAAGATACAAGTGTATATCACATATGGTACTTAACTGAGAAACTGTACACTAAGTTTAAATAAAAAAATTATGTATAACTGCTTGTTAACTTTTCTATAATACCATTTCTAAAGTCAAAGACACCCTGTAGTTTCCAATTTGTTTAAATTATTCCTCATTTTATAATTAAGATATCAGAATTCATATTGAAATCATGAAGATGAATATGCAAATCACAAAATTAATCACTGAATATAGTTTTGCCAGAGTCTGAAGTCAAATATGAACGTTTCACATACTTGGGGGGGGGACCATTGAGATGTCAGCAGATGGCAGACTGAAAAATGAGTCAAAACAATGTCTGATAGTAAGAATTTTCCATTAGTTTTAATTAACTGAAGAGTTAACTCCCTTGTATAAGCATTAGCCAAGTTGACAGTGGTAATATTAAGTTTTACTTGGTTCGAGTTGACTTTACCACCAATGAAAATAGAGCAAATCTTTGCAGATGTTTCAGAGATTCATTTTTAATTCTTTTCAGAGAAATACGGTATTAAAGGTAACCAATGTTGATAAATATTTACTGAGTTTAGTATAGCAGAAGGGCACAATTATGGTATATCCAGTGAAGTCTGAAGTCAATTGAGAGTATTGATGGATTGTTTTGTTTTTTTTAATTTGCTTTGTTTTTTTATGGCTTATAAAACTATTGTATACTGGATTGTAAGAATAATTCTTTTGCACAAGTGAATATTGTACCCCACAAAAAAAATAAAAAATTTCAAAGACAAACTGGCACATGCGCGCGCACACACATATACACGGTGAATGGTCATCAATTTCAAAAACACAAACTTTGTGATTTATCTTTTAATAGTTTAACAGATGAGATGTTCAAAGAAAAGCTACTGCTGGTTGCAATAATTAATGTCACATGGATCAGCTGAAAGCAGTGAAGAAATCCAAGTGTTGAAGGCTAAAACAACTGAATGCAGACCTGGTTATATTACACATTGTGTGTAGAATTTCAGCTATCTAGACTACTAATGGTTTATGAATGTCACAAAAGTGCTGCACATTTCCTCTGAAGTTAAGTATAATGGTCTTAATGAACAGAACTACAAATAGAAAGTTTCACAAAAAGGGGACACATTTTAGCTACCCCTACTACTCATGGCTTTTGTTGCACATGGCACAGAACACAATATTAACATTTTTTCAGTTCATGGATTTGTCCTTTGCAGATTTTCACGTCATCGGACTTTGTGCTAAGTGTGAAATTCTGAATCTGCTCAGCTTTCGCCACATAGCTGTCAGCTGACTTGAGTAAATCTCATAACTTTCAAGCTTGTTTTTTGGTCTTCAGTTCTTCAATTTCCATAAGCATGGATTTCCGTTTTTGTCCAGCTGCTTCTTCCTGCCTTTCTTTCTTCTCGGCTCCAAGGTATTGATTGTATGCTGTTCTGGCATTGGAAGCACTGCAGAGAAGAGCCTTAGTCATGGGAACATTTCCAGCACCTCTAACCATGGTCAAATAGTCCATGATAATGCACTGTGTGACCAGAATCTTATTTCATATTTTCAGTGGAAATTTCTTTATTGACCAAGAAACCTCTCTCCACTGAGGCTTGTCCATAAGAAAGTAACAGCAAACTGCAAAAAACTTTCCAATTTTTGAGATTCTTTGTTGCTAGACAGAGTAGAACAAAGTGCCCAGACAGTCTTCATGCTTGCTGAAATTCTTGAAAGCAATATTTCCAACAGCCTTCTCTTCAAACTTTTTGTACTATGTCATCACATCTGGGTTTGCTGCCTTGTTTTTTGTCCATGTGGAAAAGACATCTTTCTAGATTGTCTTGTGGCAATTTTTTTTTCACAAATGTATCCAGGGTTCAGCTATGCAAGTGACCTTACAAGAGACTTTTCCAGAAGTTTTTCAATGATGATGAACATTGTTGTAATTCTGCATGCAAACAGAACTTTTGTTGAACACACTTCCTTTTTTAGATAAATTTTGCATCGCCCTATCTGCCAGAAATCCACTCACAATCTTTGAAGCAAATTCATTTAGTTTGGAAAAGGTAATTATCGTTTTAGTATGCTCTTCAGAAATCTTAGGTTTCATGATCATGCTAAAAAGATAATCTCCAAGGAAAGGAAACAACAGTTTATCACTGACATTTTATCAAATGGTTCAATGTCTTTAAACACAAAAATCTGTAGTTTCACTGGAAATAAAACTTCATCCACGTTTGACAGCACCACAAAAAGGACCTGGTCTGGAGACATTTTTCTGTTTTTTTAATTTGTTGACATCTGGCCAAATGTCTAAGAGTCGTTCACATGTTTATACATTTTCTAGCCATCTAGGGCAGAAATACATAAGTCAAGGGACAGGGTTGCCAGACTGAACTTTTAATATAAAGCCAAGCAATAAAAGCCAAATAAGTTTTAATATATTTCATTTTTTCACACAACAAAAGCTAGTGATACAGGTTATCATGCAAGCTTTAAAAATAACATTCTTATTTTTTCAAGACATATTTTCTATCCTAAGATACATCAAAAGGCAGGTTCTCTGTTCTATCATCATTCCTGTGTACATTTTCTTTGAGTCAAATTTGATTCTCAAACTTGTTCCTTATGGCAACAATTTAGACAAACAATTTACACATTGACATGGTATGCCATGTAAATTTTTTCAGAAATTAACTCACCCACCGCTAACTAGAAATTAAAAGGACTTTTTACTTTTGAAATTGACACATGAATAAAATTTCATCAACTGTTGAAATTTTTTAAAATATCGATAAATTTTAAGATTGTACTAAAATGTATTTTATTACTGTAAAATAATGTATTATTTTCCCTTCAACTACAAATTGTATGTGTGAATTATTTTTGATGGAGATGTTTACTTGTCTCTCACACCTTTTATCATCTTTTCATGTTGAGTGAGGGTAGCAGCTAGAAGACACCTTCATATTCTTTCTTTTCTTTCTTGTTACAATCAATGAAACAAACCACCATTCACAATAATAGGCCAAATATTACAAGTAAAAAAAAAAAACAAAACATTTTTCTTAAGACAATTTTAGCTTGTAAAAAAAAAGCCAGATTTCTTGGGTTTCATATTTTGACTTTAATAAATTGATAAAAGGGATGTGTGGGCAGCCCAATTTAAAATAACTGTAGAAGAGCAATTGAGAGTAACTATTGTTCAATCTTAAATGCAACCCCTCTTCAGGACAAAAGCAATCATGGTTCACCTCAGATTCCTTTTCTTTATCTGTGAATTACTATTTCTTAGGAAAGAATATCCCTTTCCCTCAACTGCCTGCCACCCAATTCTAGAAAATCTTGTCTACTCAACCCATAGCTAGATTCATGCCTCTCTTAAGAGCATTAATACAAAAGAGCATGCAATCAACTAGGCTAAAATGTGGACCCTGCTTGCAGATTCTGCTTTCCACACCAATAACAATTATCCTTACAAAACAAAAAATAAATAAATCTTGGCTTACCCTTCGAGTAAACACACTTTTGTTCTTGGGCCCTACTTGCTCCCATTCATCAGCATTGAGGTCTTCTTCAGAATTACAATTCTCATCAAGCAAGAAACCATTAGCTGGGTGCTGTTTTGTATCAGGATCTGTGATAAGAATGTTAAATTAGCAAAAATATTTTAGGAATAATGTATAAAACAAAGAAATTTTCTGATTTTTAAATCAGTATTAATCATTTACAAAATTTCACTCTCCAAAGTTCATACACAGAACAAGATTTATGTAAATGTTCTTATTGCAAATTACTGTTACAAATGTCTAAAATACATGATGACCATAAAGTCCTGACCTATCTTAAAACAAAAATCAATTAAAGAACAAAAGACTAGTAACACTTATCAAGAGTAAGGTTTAACATTCCTGCCATCAGTATCACTTCACAGCTCAAATCATTCAGCAGCAGTTGCAACATTTTGTAGACATTCTGGTAATTATAGAAAAATGGCCACGACCATTACATTTAGTCAAATGAACATCCAAATGATGAAAGACTTGCTTAAAATTTATATCTGAATGGGTTTGATAAAATCTAAAATTTAGATTTAAAATTTGTTCTTAACCAAAGCTATAAAGCTTATATTGACATTTTGCAACAATTTTTTTGAAACTCCATTACAAATGAGATAATTTGTATTGTCAGGTTTCAATAAGATGGCACCTATTTCTTGTTCATGCCATTATTGCTAAAAATTGGCTGAATGAACAGTTTTCCTAATTGGTGGATTGGGAAAGTAACAGACAATAGTCAAAAAGGATCCAATATAATCTACATCAGATCCCTTTAGATTTTTTTTTTGCCTGGGGGAATACACAGAGCCAATACATACTACATCCAACTGCCCAACAGACAAGTATGGGAATTGGTAAGTCTGATTTGGGAGCCCAGGCAGTGCTTTGTGACCGTCACTATCTTAACATTTGCTTTTTTCTACCTACATTTAAAATTAAACCAGGGGCACAACTGTGTGTTAAAGGATGAAACAGTATTACAAATCTGAATGCCATTTGGAAGTCTTTTTTCCCCTCCAAATCCATGAATTTTTTTGCTCATGCTAAGTCTCGAAAAAATACAGTATAAAATTCACTATTTTTTATCCACAATGTTGAAGGTGTTAAAATTCAACTTTTTAACAAGAAAAATCTCAAGCTGATGTTAAAAATTACCATAAAACATTGATTTATTTAAGATGGAATGTTCTATTATGACAACTTTAATTTCTATTTAGATACATTGTATTTATTTTCAATTTTTCATCTATATTGCATATGATCCATTGTTGTACATAATTAGGTTACAATAAAATTTGTATTTTATATAAATATAGGTACCTCCACGAGATCGCTAAAAAAAGGGGCATAGCATGATGAAAAAGACGCCAAACTTGACGAAAACAAAATTTTATCGTCTAAATGTTTGTTATTATTAAGAGGAAAGGTCAAAGTATTTTTGGGGTATTTTTTTTGATTTTTTTAATCGTTCCTAGCATGTCCGAATTTTTCGTTAAAAATCTAGTTTTTTTTGAGTCAGCAAAATTGACCATTTTTTTCCATTTAAAAAAAAAAACTGGAAATCTGACTTTGAAATTTTTTTAAATATCAATTATCATTTTTTCAAAACTTATTTTAAGAAAATCAGAAATTATGTTTATTTAAAATATTTTGAACCAAACTTAACTTAGCTTTTGTGCCAAAAAGATGTAATTTGAAAATAAAACAAAGCAGGTCATAAACTTTCGCGTCTCTTGACATGTGATGAATGATATATTTATGAATTCCATGAGGCTAATTTGTTCTACGGAAGGAGAAAAGTGAAATAATTTACATTTACATTGAACAAATTATTTACCCGTTATTTTTAACGGTAAAACTTTCAGCAGTCTAATTTTTTTTTTTTTGTACTTAGCTTTCACTTTTACGTTTATGATGCTTTATAGGAAATATATTGTAAAGAAATTAAAATAAAACTGTTCAGAGTGACATTAAATTTCATATTTCTTAAGAAAGGTATCTAATTAATTTATAGGTACCTTTCTTATGAAATTTTATCAGAATTGTACATAAAATACTATAATTTTATGTACATTTATTACATTCTACTGTTATTTGTATTTGCATTCATTTTATTATTAATTTTGATATTTCATTTATGGAAAATGTCGTAACTGAGATTAATATAAAAATAAGATCATATAAATTTCATAAGATGATACTGATACTTGTAGGTACCCTTCTCAGTTGAAATTGAAAAATCAAATTAACTTCTCCACACGTGTTTCATAAAAATAAAAGGCCTTAACAGCGGAGAACAATGCTTAATTCAAATAACGCAACTTAATTATATTCTGGTTGGTCTTCCGTATTTTAAAATTACAGCTCGATTATAAGCACAAAATTACATTTCTTAATTACTGGGGATCTTCTGATTAGTCAAAATGATACAATTTACAATGCGCTTAAAAAAAGATCTATCTCATAAGGACACTTATGAAAGCCGATCTTTGACTTTTAACTAATTTTATAATATTTTAACAACTTAAATGTAAAATGTATTATAATTAATGAAATAACAAATAATTGTATTAAAAATTCATTTTTCATCAAAAAATTTTTTTTGCTTTCAGAAAATATTGTCCATATTCATAAAAACAACTAAAAGCAAATAAAAGCATTTGAAATTAAATAATATCTTTGTTTTATTGAGTTTTGTATGTTACAATTCAGAGCTGATTTTCAGGTACTGTGTATCCAATTAAAAAAAAAAAAAAAAAAAAAAAAAAAAAACATGATTTGCATTCCTCAAAGCCCTGTGCTTTTAATTATTGTCATCATTAAAACCTATGCGATCGAATTTCTAGCGTTTTCATAAAATTAGTTAAGGGGGGGGTAATAAATATTTAAAAATATTTCTACCATGACTTTCATAAAAAAACATTTATAATAATTTCGATCATCTGTGAATAGTTCCTGAAAGTTTCATTAACATCCGATAATTATTTCTTTTTTGCACGATTTTTCAAATTAATGTGTGTCATACAAAAAAAACGTGCTAAAAATTGTCTATGTTATTTACTAGTTCGCTGATACAAATAGAAACAAGGTTTTTTTAATCAAAATTTAGAACGTTCTAAAAGGAAAATTTTTTTAAAAATAATAAAAAAAAAACTTTGGTCTTTCCTCTTAATAATAACAAGCATTTAGACAATAAAATTTTGTTTTCGGCAAGGTTGGCATCTTTTTCATCAAGCTATGCTCTTTTTTTAGCGATTTCGTGGAGGTACCTATATAAATACTACCTTATGAAAAGTGGGGGACTCTGTATCATTGATTCAGTAAGAGGCCACAAGACCCTTGCACCAGACCTGGGAATATATTGAATCACAAATCTACCAAAAAAGGATTACATTTCTGAACAATTTATGTGAGTGCATAGATAACATGACACCACAACTGTAGATAACATGACGCCACAACTGATCCAAATGGGTTTCAAAATACTAAATGCTTCGAGCTGTCCAAGGATACCAACAGCTATTATGTCAAACTACTCCAAATTCAATAAATATTACTAATTGCTGATTCTAATTAAATAATTTAAATGCATATTCTTAAAATAGTATGATTTCATAGACACATTCTATTTTTGTTCAGTTGTGACATTATGATAAGCATACTCCGCATAGAAGGGTGTGATTTTTCTTGGTCTCAAGTGTCATGACAAGTGACAAGTTTATGGACAGGGGTCTTCAGGACAGCCACCCACTTGACAATAAATAAAAACTTTTGGGAACAAATAACAAAACCAGACATTGAGAACTTTCAGTCACAGGCTTGTATTAGCAGTGACAGTTTGGACCAAGTTAGTTCAGTGCTGGACCACCAATTAACAAGGGACAAACTCCCTCGGAGTAGTTCCAATTCCATCCATTATAGTTGTCAACCATGCATAATGATGGCAGAGTTGGTAGGAGGAAGAGCTAATCCGTTAAACTGACATGTCACAAGTGTCACCTACCTACCCACCCACCCACCAGATGATACCAGTAAATCCTTGACAGCAGGAAATAAATACAAGTATATTGAAAATAGGGTTCAAGTCCTCATTTCTCAGAGGCATTTGTTTTCACCTTTCATTTATTTGTGAGCTAGCAACAGGCCTTTTTCCCAGTCTTTGGTGTACACCAACACAAATGAGAATAGACATGCAATGTTGAACTGTGAGACAGCACCCCATTTTATATTTACACAGGAAGTTAATATTGCAAAAATAAATACAAGAAGCCCAAATTAATTTAGCAGACATTTTATGCGGAAATAGTCATGACCTCTTGGAAAAAATTGTTTTCCTCCCTGCCTTCTTCCATTTTAAAGGCCATGTTTTCCCTCTTAGACTGGTTGTTACCACTAAGGCTAGAGAACCCACTCTACCCTGCCATTTATCCCATAGCTGGAGGGAGAAGTGAATTCATGCCTTTCCCAAGAACATTAGTACAGAACTGAATCTAATTGGTTAAAAGAATCTTTTAGCCAATTCCACTTTCTCTGCCAAGAATTGTTACACTATATGCATATCTCTAGATAAGCATGTTTACTATAAGACCACTTCAAATCATTATGCACATTTATTGAAGGAGACATTGAAAACTGTTTGATATTGTTTAAATGTATTTTATAAAATTACCTTGCTTGGAGTTATTTCCAGTAATATTTATTACACCTAACATCTCCTCGTGCAATCTGTTAAGAACAAAACTTAAAAATTCCTCTGCATCCTCTTGTTTACCAAACTGAAATGTAAAAATAGTTCATCAAAAGAGATTGATACAAATCTATAAGAGAACTTTTAATATATTGTCCAAGTAGTTAAACATTTTCAGTCAGTTATTTACTAAGCTTAGCTTCATAGAAGGTCACATTAAGATAAGTATGTTGATGAGATCAATAAAAAAATAGCATACCATGAATAAAAAAGGCCTTAAATTTGATTAAAATAATTTTTTATCGTATAAATGTTAATGTTATTATCAAGAGGAATGATCAAAGTATTTTTTGAATATTTTTTAAAATTTTTTAATAATTTCTAGCACGTCCAAAATTTTCATTAAAAATCTTCAATTTTTTTGAATCGGAAAAAAAAAAAAAAAAACGACAAAAGATCGATAATCTCCCGTTGTTTTTAACGTTTGTTTACAAAAGTAAATGTTGCTGTTTAAAATTTATTTAAAGAAAAAAAAATCAATGATTTTTTTTTTTAACTAATTTTTAAAAAATTAGAAATTAGAAAGTTTATTTATTATATTTTGAAACAAAGATTGCTTATTTTCTGTGACGAAAACATGTTTTTACAAATGGGAGAAAGCCGGTCTGAACTGCGGTGTTGATTGACAAACGACAAGTGCGTGTTTTTCATCATGCACTGACATTACGTGCGGAAATTTATAATACGGAAGGTCGTAAGTGACAATTTATCTTTACGTTAACAACTTATTTACCTCGTTATTTTTAAGTAGTCATAGCATGAAAAAACGGCCTTAAACTTGACGAAATCAGAATTTTATTACCAAAATGTTTATGTTACTATTAAGGGGAGAAAACAAAGTAATTTTTCATTATTTTTTATAATTTTTCTGTCTTTATGAGAACGTTTTTAACTTTTGATTGAAAAATCTTGTTTCTCGTCATCACCGGAACTTTAGTAAATAACATGGCAAATTTTTTGTTCATTTTTTTCTTATGACACACATTAATTTTGAAAATCTTGCAAAAATAGAAATAATTGTCAGATTTTAATGAAACTTTCAGGAATGATGGAAATTATTATAATTTTTTTAAAGTAATTTTATATAAATGTAAAGGCTGTTAACAGTGCCGTACAAATCAAGTCACGTGAAGTTTTTATTGGATCATGTTTCTTCTGGGCCTCCGTACATTTGATTTAAGATTTTTTTTTTTCTACACATAGGGTAAAGGACAGTAAGATTATTCTCATTGCTGATTCGTTGATTGTAAAAACCTTGTACTATTTATAATCTGTACAGATACAGGTACCTAAAAAAAACATACAGGATTCGTCAGTACCGCTAATTTTAGAATATTTAACAACTTTTAGTAACTTTATGTAAAAATAATAAAATAATTTATTAAATAACAATTCATTTAAAAATTCATTTTTCATCGAAAAAGTTTTTTGCCTTTAGACAATATTATGCATATTGATAAAAACAAATAAAAGCAACTAAAAGCATTTAAAATTAAATAGTATCTTTGTTTTACTGGGTTTTGTATGTTACAATTCAGAGCTGATTTTAGGTTTACGAGCTCGGATTTTTAAAAAAAGAAAACCCGATTTACTTTCCTCAAAACCTTGTGTTTTTAACTAATATAATGACTTGCGTGCTTCGTCCATAAACTTTTACAGTTTTCTTTAATTCATTTATGGGGGTGGAAATATATGTATAAAAAATATATTTTTATATTGACTTTTAAAAAAAAAATAACATATTTATAATAATTTCCATCATTTCTGAATAGTTTCTGAAAGTTTCATTAAAATCTAACAATTATTTCTATTTTTGCAAGATTTTCAAAATTAATGTGTCATAAGAAAAAAAATGCACAAAAAATTTGCTATGTTATTTTTACCAAAACTTCCGGTTGTGATGAGAAACAAGTTTTTCAATCGAAAGTTAGAATGTTGTAATAAAGACAGAAAATTTTTTAAAAATAATTAAAAATTACTTTGTTCTTTACTCTTAATAGTAACAAACATTTTGGCGATAAAATTTTGTTTTCATCAAGTTTGACATCTTTTTCATCAGACTATGAGCTTTTTTTTAGCGATCTCATGAACATACCTACATTAAGATTTAACTTGTCATTCTAGAACACTGGTCTGTGAAAAAACTATCACAAGTCAGCTACTAAAAATAAGCCAAGAAGCTTCACATCACTCTTGCAGTCCATCTGTTAAAAAAAAAAAAAAAAAATGTATATATAATGGATTTTGTGTAGTCTAATGCAATCAACAGATTCTATATTATATACATATATCAATTGTTAAACAAACCCAATGGCTTTTACTATGCACAAAAAATCCTTTAACTTGTGTAAAATTCTATACAATTTCTCAAATCATTTTTTCCAACTTACCTTGAAAGACATGGTAGATTCAATCATATGCAACATTTTATACACATATGAAGGCTCAAAAGAAGAGCCAGCAGTCAATTCATATGACTGTGGACGTTTCTTTGTATTAACTGAAATATATGAAAGTTTTTGAATTTTAAGATAAAGCACAAAATTTAACCAGTTTTACATTTTTTTTTAGCTACCATTAAAAAATATATGCAAAATTAAGCTAAGAAATTCAAAATTTTCAAAATATAAATAATTCCTATTTTATATACTGCTCATAGTCAATATTAAAATTATATCTACCTGGGAAGTGAGACATCACATGGAATTCATTTACAAATCTAAACCTGCAATATCAAAAAAATAGTTTTTTAACACTCTAAAAGCAAATATTCATGTACAAAACACTTAAAAAGTTTAGTTACAGCAAAAAATTTTTTAACTGAGTTTTCAATGATTTTTAAATAGTTGAAAATATAAAATTAAATATTAATTTTTTTAAATTTAAAAAAATGTTCTCTAATATAGAACACAGAGAAAAATGTCATTTACAAAATTAAGTATTTTTTTAATTTTCTTTCGTTAGAAAGTAAGAAAAAGAGGACAACTTTAATACAAAAAAAATTAAAATAAAATGAATTACATTGCATCCACAACTGGTGTGGAGCTGGGTCCACGGAGATCAGGTGTCTTCAGAGGTAACTGCTTTATTAAATGATAGAAAGGAGGACAAGCAACTAAAGCTTGTAATGTCTGAGTTCAGTTAAGGTAAATACATAAGTCAAAACATCAAAAGCTAAATACCAAAATATCAAGTTTTTTGTTTTTTTTTTGTTTTTTTTATTCACTCACTTTTTATAGAACTTCATAAGCAAGCTTCATTAAACATGCCAATGTACTAGACTCCAAGTTTAAAATTTGGTTTGATAAGCCTTGCTCATCTTTCAAAGTTATTTGTACAAAGAATACTCAATATAAACTATATATATATATATATATATATATATATATATATATATATATGTCTTTATTACCATTTTCAGAGTGTCTCACCACCAGCCAATATTTAGAAAGAAAATTTGAACAGTTTGCATAGGTGCATTAATACATTTTTGGTGGGTAAAATCTAAGCATTTATTAAGTGTACCTGAACTTCCACCAAGACAGGTTTTAAATACTAAAGGAAACTCACTAATTTTCTTTTTAATGTTTTTAGAGTAAATTTAAAACATTAAGTCTCTGGTGGTTTTGAATTTAGTCATGGTGCACATTTCCCATCCTTGATTGAACTCAGATGAGTTAGTAACAACTGAGCAGTTCAGATTTTTGTTTTTCTTTTGTTAATTTGGTTTCAATATTACCACTTTACACCAATGTAAACTTATTCCTTCTCTCATTTTAATCACAAATAAATTCAGATTAATTTTACGATTTATAAAAGATATCAAAACTCTGGATTTGAATAGCAGCACTTATTCTCAAGTCAGCTAGAACAATAAGGATACTCGTGATAGTTTGAATGTTTCATAAACTATAAACACACTATCAAGATTAAAGTGTGTGTATAATGTAACTGTCAAAGTGGAAACCTGACATCAGAGAGCAGTGAAATTTGTTTTGTGATCAAAACCAACCAAACTATATCTGATAGAAAAGATTGGTTTGGTTAGATTTTGTTTGTGTGTGTCAAACCCTGATGGATCATTTTATGCCAGCCAGGTGAATACATATATACTTTCATTTTTTTCCAATAGTCTTATGGAAAAGAATTGATGAAACTAAAGTTTTAATTCTGTGTTTCAATGTTAACACCGAGTTGATAACAGTAAAAATTCACCTTTTAAGCCAATTATGTATGTTGTACTTATTGAACTATCCACATTCTTCTCCAAGAACATTATTTCCAGTTTTTTTGTTTTTTTTAGATACAAAAATTTCACTCACAAAATTATACTAACAAGCTTCTGACAACTGACAATTATCACTATTTGAAATTTAAAATTGTAAAACACATACAGTAATTTTGATGCATGCATATGAACAAGTGTATAAAAAAAAAAAAAAACATTTTAAATTAGTCAAAATTGAATTTTGAAACAGGATACAGCATTAATATAACACCAATTGCCTTTGTTGATAAGCCCTCGAGGTTGTAAGGAGACTGGTTTATAAGTCAATGAAATTTTTCTCAAGGACACTGAAATGGTAACAAAATATTAGTCAAAGAATGACAAGACAATGAAATTTCTTACAATTTAAAAAAAAAAAAAAAAAGCTGATCTTAATTTAAAATTTCAAGTCTTGGAAATAAATGTACAGTCAAAAAATTAGCATTTTACAAGACCACTAACAAATTTGTATGCTAGATATTTTAAAGACAAAACTAATCACTTGAGAATCTATGTATAGGTCAGTTAAAAGATCAATTGTTGTGGCAGCTAACTATAAATTAAGAAATAATTTGTATGGCCTGAATGCTACATAAGTACATTAATTTTCTTTGAATACTTAATTTTTAAATTAAAGTACCTTGCTCATTTTCAAAGTTATTTGTATAAAAAATACTCAATAGAAGCAATATTAAGTTAACTGCCACTACTTTGATAGATACGGTTGACCATTTTAAGATGGGGTCCTAAAATCAGGAAAGAAAATTGATTTAATAAACCCAATTACAAATAAGCATAAAGATAAATAAGAATTGATAAATGTTAACTATCAAAATAGTCATACACTGTAGAGACCATCATTCTATGTGGAGTGGACAACTTTTCAGTAGCACTACAACATTTATCAAAGACAATTTCTAGCAATCAATTCTGAAGTAGTATTTTGAAAAGCCATACACATACAAATCACAATGTTCTCTAATTTAGCATATATAATGTAGAAATACTAAGATTCAAACTAATAAGACTATCAGAAGATTACTGTCTATATAAGACTATTTTATACTGATCTTTTACAGATCAGTAAACAGTTGCAGTAATAATAACCCTATTACAATTGTGCTTGTCTCTTCGTTAGTTTGCATGACCATTACACCCTGCCAATACCTCATAAATAATGGACTATTCCATTTTGATCACATAGAAGAGAAAAGACTACTTGGTTTCAGTGAGAAAATGAAAAAGAAGTGGAGAGAGATTAAGCTGAGAAGAACAGGTATTACACTTTGATATTAGTCAAAAGGCTGAGAAGCGATGACAACTGTGATAAACAAGCCATTTTTCAGACGCACATCAAATGACGGAAACCAAGTAAGAGAATCAACCAAAAATCTAGTTATCATAAATAAAAACTGTCTGCTGAATTATTTTAAAATTAAGAGAAATATTTAAGACAGGGATTTGTCTAATAATAATAATACAGCTGCCTATTTTATCATCAGTATTCCTTTGACTCTGGTAATAAAAGAAAGATTCCCGTAGGAGAAAGCAAATATTTAATTAGAAAGGCATAAAATAGGAAATAGAGGTTACGAAATGACTCACCTCCAAGGACTTGTGCCAGACTATCATTAGCCGGACTGACTGGTGCTTGTGGTTGTGGACTATTCTCTTTCACAAATTGATGATCCGGACTAGTTTTCTGAGATGAAGTGGTTGCTGATTGAACTGTTCCCGATGTGCCACTGGCAAGTGCTGTAGATGACACCAGCATTGCTGAAGATACTTCATTGCTCTGGGGTGATTCAGAATATACCACAATACTCCTTGATGTAGACAAAGTGTTCTTGAACAGACCCGCCCATGACATTTTGGGCTTGGGTTGTGCTAGGTCAGCTGGAGCCTCTTTAGTAGTGACAGTAGCAGTAGAGGTGGTGGTGGTTGTTGTAATAGTAATAGTGGTGGTAGGAACATTACTCTGGTTACTGGCTTCAGCCTTCACCTTTTCTGTTGAGCTCACAATGCCTGCATCAACTTTGGTTTCATCATCAACACTAGATTCAAATTGTTCTTGGCTGCAACCACCATCAACTGGTTCTGGCACAGTAGTCGCATTTTTGTCCTGTTTACAATTACCTTTATTCTGTTGGTCAACAGAATTAATATCACAGTTATTTGATTCTTTAAACAGGAACTTTTCGTTGGGTTTATTGCTGGGCTGGCATTTGCCATCAATTATAACCAATGCCTCAACTTCACAAAGATCAGCTGTATCAATCTTTGCATCCACTTGACCGCAATTGCTATTATCTTTCTGATCAAAAATCTTCACTGGATCCTGCTTGTGTTTATCCATTAGTAATTCTAACGATGGACTATCACACAGGATTCCATTTTCAGCGGAAACCTCAGTGTCAAAAAAGCTAATAGTATCAGAGAAATAATCTGGATTAAAATCATTTTCTATTTTCCCAGAAGGCACATTATCAAAGTCTTTGTTCTGATTTGCACACTGAGTAGTCTCTACATCACTTGCCTCATTAGTGCTAAGCTCAGTCCCTTCAAATTTCTTGTAGTAGTCTTTGGGACGTACTTTTTTATTGCGTCTTTCACGGTTCTTCAAATCTGCAATTATCTTGGCAGATTTCGACCCTTCCTCATCCTCATCTGCCCTTAGTTGATTCTCATCTTCAGTATTAGAAATAGTCTCACGGCTATTAGAAAATGACTTCATGTTTTCACTGTTGACATCAACTGAAGGAGCAACTGCTGGCACATCTATGTTGTTACAGACAGGAATTATTTGAGGACAAGGAGGAACAGGAATATTTGGAGAGATGTTCATCACCTCAGGATGAAGCTCTGTAGGCCTGGACATTGTAATCTCATTAACAACAGTCAAACCAATGGGTATCAATCCAGGTGGGGGTCCCACAGTTGATGTTCTGTTAATTGGGGCCGGTGGAAGATTAACTGGTGGGGAAAACACCAATGGCACAATGGGGGAAGAGAAAATGGCTGCTCCATGTGGAAGATGGGGAACTGGGCCAGAGCCAGGATAAAGGGTGGCGACTGGGACTACTGATGGAGGTGCTGGAGGAGGATTCTTATATGTATCATCATAATCAATAAAAGAGTCTGAAGGAATATAAAAAATAAATTAAAAACAAAAAATTAGTATATATTTCATAGGTTGCAACAAAATCATGAGTAACAAGTTTTCATAAAAACCTTCAAAATTTGTAAAAATCAGAAATTCATCTACAAGTACAGCTCAATTTGTAAAGATGAAAATAAGAAATTGCTTAAGATTATGTTTAAGCCATTCTGTAAATTAAAATTAATCTATGAACAAATGTAAAAATACATTTCTAGAACTTACCAAATTGATTTACACCAACACCATCTTTATCCCATGGAAACTATAAAAAAAAAAAAAAAAAAAAATTCTCAATTATAATATAGTAATAAAATTCAACAAGTTAACATATACTCTGTAGATAACCAGGAAATAAGTTGATAGAATTTATAAAAAAAATAAAATAAATAAAAAAAATACAATTTTATCTTTTATGATCATGTTATAGAATAAAGAACATTGCACATCCAAGTTTAACAAAGCTCACATCAGGTAGATATATTTCATAACATTGAATATCTTTATTTAAAAAAAAAAAAAAAAAAAAAATCTTATTAAAAGAAAAATTCTTAAAAATACAGTTTAATTGAACAATATATACTAAGGTTTGTTGAAATGAATCAAGCTATGAAGACTTTTTGTAAGCTAACTTCATTTAAAGTAAACATTTATCTTACTTCAACTTTCCTCCGACTTGTTTCGGCATTGTCCCCATGCAAAATATTTTGTACTGTATCTTGTTCTTCTGGGGACAGATTGCTGAAGTCGCCAAATGAAAAGATCTCCTGCATTAAAAAAAAAAAAAAAAAAATCAGATTTTGCAAATACAACATGAAATTGTCAAAGTTTACAACTTAACTTCATTTAGCATTTAACTATTTCGTAATAAATTGGGCACAAAAGATAATCTTTTCAAGTTTTTTTTGAAGGGGGAGTGTCACTTTATTTATTTAAAGGCAGAATGAAATACAAGATAAAATTAGTCAATTTTTCATCAGGTAACTACAAATCTTGGCAGTAAGTCTTTTTTAAACAACAGACCAAGTAAATGCCATCTTCAAATTGTTACAATCAAGTGTTAAATGCAGAAAGCTACAACTAAATGCATTTATAGCAAATGCAAAATTGACAATGTTCTACACTCCTGTAAAAAATTATAAATCTACAATCAAACATTTAAATTGGCTAAAAAAGTTATTTCCATTGGAATTCACTGGAGATTAGCAAAAGAAAATGTATTTCACCATATTCAAAATTTAACACTAGGTCACATTGACAAGAACATTAGATACAGTTAATGAACCAAATGACCTATTTGGTATCAAAATAGTGACCAAAATAAGGTGTTATGCTTTCTATGAAAAATGAATACTTAGAGTATCAATTACATATTTTTACAAAAATTTGGCTGCATTCATTAAAATGGGAGTAAAATAGCATTATATATTACAAACTTTTCTTATAAAATGTAAAAGGAAAATTAAACATTTTAAAAGTGAACTCAACAGACAAATTCCAACCTCCAAAGAAAAATGTTGCCTAAAGAGTGCCCACAAAAATTCTCCCTGCCAGATAGCAAGTATGCATTTTAGCTAAGACATTTGTAGCTATACACAGACATTTTGTAAAGGATTCATACAAGGAAGGAACTTCATAAAATTGGATTCCTTGCCAATACACTGATGCATATTCATGCACAAGATGTTTTTAATTTTAAAATCTTAAAAAACTGATTATGGGTAAGTAGTTTCAATTTGTATATTCAATCTAGCATATGATTGGTTCCTAAATTCTTATTGCTAGCTACATTTTGATGAATTTAATGTTTTAAGATTTCAGGTATTCTATTGCACAAGATGACAGATATACCCAAAATGCCAGAAACAGAATTAGTACATTCATTATATGAATATCTTCAATAAAATGAAATCTTAACTGTTTATTTCCAAAAATGTTACTTAAGAAATCAGACGAATCGATGGTTACAAGTTTTTTTATTCTTTGGAAGAATACCATTTCAGTGGTTTATAGATCATTATACAACTATCTCTAATAACTTTATTACCACCTATCTGTTCCTAAATGAACCTCAGCTTGAAACATTACTGATGTGTACTAAAGCATCCAATAAATGTATTTTATGAAATTACCACCTAACTGTTCCTAACCTACTAAAAAAATCCATAACTTAAGTGTTAAATATTCCCTTTTTAGTGACATCAGATGCATTGAGTAAAAATTCTAATTTAAACATAAAATGTGTTTTTGTTGAACTGCATATAAACATACCAGATTAACATTGCATTAATTACTGATACAATGTTTTCACTCATTTTATTCTTCATAAATTTTGCAATGCATATGGAAAGAAAAAAAAAAAGTTAAGTCCACATAATAACCAGATCAATAATAAAACAGTGCTGTAGAGAGATTCTCTGCTTTCTAATAAGCCAAGAGAAACTTATTCAGTGTTAGATAAATACAGAAGTATACTGAAAAACCACAATGCATATATATGTAATTTATATGTACATAAAAGAAACCTAGCAACAAATATAAACACTTATGTGAACATGAATATCATTACAACTAGTGTCATTTCCTTAATTCCAAGAAACATTTACTTAAGATAACTGGATTCATAATCAAGTTCACATGAGAATATCTTGCAGATAGACAGGGAAATGTAAAAATTCATGATATTAACAGTAGCTTGTTTTTTGAGTTTCTTTTGGGGGGGTGCTTTTTTGTTTTTTTATAAAGAAATTTAACTTGCAAATGTATTTAAAATATTAACTGTAACAGATTTTAGATCCAGAATACGAAATTTAAGCTTGTCCCTATTAAAATTTTTTGAACTCTTATTTCTAAGCATTTTAAATAACTTATGCCAACAGACTTGAAAAATTAGCAGCCAAGCACAAGAAAAATCATGTACATAGGTACTAAAATGTCAGTCCTATACAGAATTTAGGTAAATGAAATTTAGATGCAACCATGCAAATAAGACAAGAGATAACCAGGTAATTTAATTGTTAGCTACCATAGCAGTGGAAAAGGATATTGAATTAAAAATGAAAATACTGCTTCAAAATATTCAAAGAAATAAGAAAAATATCAAAAGTTCATATATTGCAAAAACACTAGAATTCTCAAGTTTTCAGATCATTTATGATACAAAAAGAATGAAATAGTCTAAGTAACATTAAAATTACTAAAAGAAATAACACTATAAAGTGATGAATTTGTATATTACAAGTTTAACCTGTCAATCACAGAACTGAAGAAACAAACTGTTGCAGTTTCCCAGCCTGAGCCTGCCTGACTTAATAAAACGGGATAAAAATCAGCTTCATGGAGACTACAGAATTTTCTTTTTTAAATACCTTATACTATAGTATGCACAACACTTAATATACTGTAGAAACATTATCTTTAGAAAATTTACTATCTCAAACATTTTTTGGATATCAGTATCTCTTACATTGTTTCTTCAGTTTTTCAAATTAGCATTGATCCATTTATACAAGTGTTGCTTGTTCACCCAAAGAACAATATTCTCAGTTGAAATAATCATAAAACCAAAAATTTGTTAACATTCTAATATTAAAAGATAACTTGTAGAAAATTAATGCCAAGATCTGAATAGTGATAAACAAAACATAATATACTTCAAGCTATAGTAAATTTAAGCTGCTTGAGTGTGTATTATCTGCTTTCCTGAGAGAAAATGCTGCATTGGGCTCTTGCTTAAACATTTGAATTTCAAAAAATTTTGGGGGGTACATTTATGGGAAAATAGCTGCATTTCTTTTTCATTCAGGACCAATCAAAAGGTTTCCCTCTAAATTCCAAGAAGTGAATCTGGAGCCTATCTGGGTGAATAAAAGGAAAACCAGGAATTGAATTCATGGAGTCTACAAACAGCTGCTGCATGAACCCAAGTTGACTCAGACTTGAAAGAAAAACACAGAATAAATTTGACAACCACCTGACATCAAAGTCACTCCCACATCAAGGAAAATTCTTTGGCCAGTATGATTGTTCTGTTCTTCATTACTACCACAAAATTTGCTTTGAAAATTGTACTTATTTTTCGAAGATTATATTCAGAAGTAGTTCCCCCGCCCTTCATTTATCTTTATGTTTACCTTTTTTGAGGATCTTATATGCAGCATTGTAATTTTTATTGTAAAAGAGGCATATTTCATTTGCATTGATAATTTTTACGTACTTTATTGGCCATCATTTGGCACACAAAGCACTTAATTTGTGTAATTCTCTCATTTTTGTGTGTATATAAATTTATCGTTTGTTTTTTAAACTCAGCTCATGTCATAGATCTTTGTTGTGTGCCCTAATAAATGTTACCATAAACATTTGTTTGAACTATTTTTTGTAGGTTTTTTTTTAGCAAATAAAAAACCCTTTAAAGCATTCATAGTTGTATTTTGTTGATTGCGAAAAGGGATAATTAACCCATTGTACCAAAGAGTCCAATACAAACAGAACAAGTTTTTAGCCATTAGAAAAATTGAAATATCAAAATTCTATTTAAAACTTATTTGAATGAAAAATGTGCAATCTCCAAGCTAATAAATGCTTGGCATCTAAGCTTAAATGATTAAAGCCTAAAACTAGAGAAAAATTTTACCTGAAATTTGTTTTGTTTGTATCAAATAAAGATGGTTAAAACTTGGAAGTTGTAGGGGGTTTAATGTGATTTTCTAATAATTTGACAATTTTTCCTGATATCAGCTTCAATTTCTTGCACATCTTTAAAATTATCTTGTACTAAGGTTTTTTTTTGGTTTTTTTTGGTGTGGATATAGTTTGTAGTTAATTTTCTTTGGAGATCATCTCCAATTTTGATCTATTATTGTTAGACACTAATGACTAAAATTAGGTACCTCCATGAGATCACTAAAAAAAAAAAAAAAGCATAGCATGATGAAAAAGATGCCAAACTTGACAAAAACAAAATTTTATCAACTAAATGTTTGTTATTATTAAGAGGAAAGATCAAAGTATTTTGGGGGTATTTTTTTTACATTTTTTTTTATTCGTTCCTAATACGTCTGAAATTTTCATTAAAAATCTTGTTTTTCTTGAGTCAGCAAAATTGACAGATAATCATGTCAATCATTTTTTTTCCATTTTATAAAAAAAATGAAAATCAGTTTGAAATTCTTTTAAAAATCAATTATAATTTTTCAAAACTTAAGAAAATCAGAAATTATGTTTATTTAAAATATTTTGAAACCAGCATTATTTAGTTTCTGCACCAAAAAGGTGTAGTTTGAAAATTAAACAAAGCAATTTGTTCTACGGAAGGAGAGAAGTGAAATTATTTAGATTTAAGTGAACAAATTATTTACCTAGTTATTTTTAAGGAAAACTTTCAGCGCATTAATTTTTTTTTTTGTACTTAGCTTTTACCTTTATGATGATTTATGGAAAATATATTATAAAGAAATTAAAATAAGACTTGAGAGTGAGATTAAATTTCATAAGAAAAGTATCTAATTAATTTATAGGTACCTTTCTTATGAAATTTTATCAGAAGTGTACATAAAATATAATTTTATGTACATTTATTACATTTTCCTGTGTTATTTGTATTTCCATTCATTTTATTATTAATTTTGATATTTCATTTATGGAAAAATGTCATAACAGATTAATATCATAAGATATAATATAAGATCATATAAATTTCATAAGATGTTACTGATACTTGTAGGTACCCTTCTCAGTTGAAATTGAAAAATCAAATTAACTTCACACGTGTTTCACAAAAGTAAAAGCCTTAACAGCGGAGAACAATGCTTAACTCAAATAACACAACTTAATTGTATTCTGGTTGGTTTTTGGTACTTTATAATTACAGCCCAATTATAAACACAAAATTACATTTCTTAATTACTGTGGGTCTTCTGATTAGTCAAAACTATACAATTTACAATGTGGTAAAAAAAGATCTATCTCATAAGGACATTTACGAAACTAAATGCAGCTTTTAACAACTTAAATGTAAAAATCTATTATAATTAAAGAAATAAATAATTGTATTAAAAATTCATTTTTCATAAAAAAAAATTTTTTGCTTTCAGAAAATATTGTCCATATTCATAAAAAGCAAATAAATGTATTTGAAATTAAATATCTTTGTTTTATTGAGTTTTATAGGTTACAATTCAGAGCCGATTTTCAGGTGGGGGGGGGGTCACTTAAAAAAATAATACATGATTTGCTTTCCTCAAAGCCTTGTGCTTTTAACTAATATAATCACTAAACTGAATGCAACTGAATTTCTAGAGTTCCCATAAAATTAGTTGGGAGGGGTAATAAATATAAAAAAAATTTTTTTCTATTACTTAAAAAAAAAAAAAAACACAAAAAAAACAATTTTCATCATTTGTGAATAGTTTCTGAAAGTTTCATTAACATCCGATAATTATTTTTATTTTTGCAAGATTTTCCAAATTAATGTGTCATTAACAAAAAAAAAAAATCTTAAAGAACTTGAAACAAACATAGATGATCAATTTTGGCAGGACAAGTGGTTAAGTTTTTAGTAAAATCCTCACTGTTTTTGTTTTTTTCTACTTCAGTCATTGCTTAGTTTTACTGTTTACAATCAAATGAAACTTCTAATTACAAATTGAAAGTTAGGATTTGAAAGTTTTTTCTAATTTTAGTTTCAATAGAATGAAAATTGGCTAATGCTGAGTGCATGCTTTTTATAATTATCCTTTTTTAGTTATCTGAGAAACTTCTGGATTTTATCACCCATTAATACAGTTCATTGAACTGAGTTCAATAAGAAAGAATAACAAAACACTGACAGTAATCTATAAAAAAAATTAATATTCTCTAGTTCTACTTGAAACGGTCATTTTAAGATTGTAGTGTAGTGATCTAATAATATTCAGTAAAAATTAGCAACAAAAAGTACTAAATTAGATTGAAATGATTAGTTTTTGTTTTTTTTAATGTACTCAGAAACATGCGAAAATGAGAAGCGAAAAAGTAAAAACTTAAAAATTATTGAAGCTATTATATTTGAAGATTTCAATTTTTTAAATTATTCGAAAGAACTATTGACAAATAAGTGAAAGTTACAAATATTTGTCAACGCATACGTTTTAGTCTTTATAATTTCTTCTAAATTTAAGACAATATGTTTAATCACATTAAGAATTCTACAAATTTCAAATTACTGGTAAAGTAAAAACGCCTATTTTTTTATTATTTTAAATCAGGAATTTTGAAAAGTTACATTGAAAGTATCGAAAATTTATAGCAATATAATGCTTTTTCTTTTCACAAAAAAAAAAAAAAAAAAAAAAAAATTCAGTTTTTATCCAATGAGAATTTTTTTAATAGAAATTAACTGAATGAGTATTTCAAAAAGTAAAATTCATGGGATTTAAAATTAATTTTTTTTTTTAATCTAGCTAGATAATTTCTAGTTTTAAATCTAATCAAGTTAGAAATGATAAAATGCGTAAGAAGCGTTAAAAAAGAAAAAAAAAGGGATTACTACAATTATCATATGATCACAAATTGTATTTCTGTATTACTATTATTATTATTCGGTTACTATGTCAAATAGAAAACTTCACAATAGGGTGTACCCCACAAGCCGGAGGAGGGAAATAACGCCCAGCATGCAAAATAATGGAAGTTAAAGAAGGGGGATGGGTTGCAGAAGAAATAAGCAAAGCTAGGAAACATGATGCGACATCCCGGCAGAAAAAGAGAGCATTTACAAATTCTGTTCCTTTAACTTACATTGCCCTGATATGTTGAAGGAACCAACGGTAGCTAAGATCAAAAACAGGTCAAGAAAATATGACATGGATCTGATACTTAATTGTGCCAATCTTAATTGTCAATTCTACGATATTCTTTGGATTGGTCAGAACAAAGTTAAAATAACATCAGCCGACTAAAAAAAAAAAAAAAAAAAAAAAAAAAACTAGTGTACCGTTATATACAGACAGCATTTAATCACAACTACTTTAAACAACCTTTTTTCATCAACACCTACGCATAACGTTTCTTTGAAATGGTCACTCGAAGCCTTAAAAAGAAAATGACGCTCTCATTTTAGGTCCCCTTAAAAAAAAAAAAAAAAAAACTTACATTAATTCAACACGTGTTTTTATTGGTCATTGAACATCTTAAAATACTTAATTTAATAAACTTTTAAACTTTACATATTTTAAGATTTTTCTGGGTTTTTTTTTATTTAATATCTTCCCAAAATTCAATTGTTTGGAATTTATAGATGGCACTTTAAAAGTGTGTTACTGTTGTAGAATTTAGTAACAGAAAAAAGGCCTGAGAAATGACTCGGACATTTTTTTTTTTTTAGTCATTACATAAAAATATTTCCTAATACAAGCGAAACATGAGGATTCATGAAGTAGTTCGTGGTCGGAAGTAAATTAAATTTAATAAACATTTAAACAGCAAGGACTTTTATCATGATGGTTAGGTGGGGGAGATTCGTTCTCATTTTTACAGGAACAAAGTAAATGGGAGTCGTATGGCCATAAAATACGCATGTGGTATATCGACTTCAAAGAATGACATTAAGTTGTATAATCGGACAACAGGAATTCTAGTTAAAACGTGTGTGAACTCATCTTTACCAATACAAGAAAATTATTACCTAATTCTAGAAAAGATTCAGATTCAAATAGATGACTATTTTTCTAACATAAAAGAGGCGCCCTTACGAAGATTTAAGCATGTGTGAATGTGTAGTCGACAATACCTCCCTAGCTTAATTACGAAGAATTGGCATACGAAAGCTTATAAGCTGTTTTTCTTGTTTTTAAAAAAAAAAAAAAAAAACCTTATTTACTTTTAATTAAAAATCAGCACCTTTTTTTTTCGTATATATATTAAAAATTCGTTCAATATACCATGCGACAAACAAAAAGAGTTGAAAATCGTACAACTTCAGGTTTTTAGAGATAGAACGCAGTTAGCTGGTAAAACCAAGTTATCTAGATTATTTATCCGGCTTTAACGATAATGATAAAAACAAAGTCATGTCTGCTTTGAAAGCAACCAAAAATACTTTTTAACAGTCACAGCAATTTACTTCGCCGGCACCCAGTTCAACTAATACTAAGTACAAGAACAAAATCAGCGGGAGAAAGGCTGATACAAAGATACATGTAACTAACAGTAACACAGGCACCGAACATGAAACAGTTTCCTTTCACAGCAAACAAATAAAATAACCAAGATCAATACACGAAATATCGATTTTAGGAAATAGGATTTTCTTTTAGCTTTGATCTGCTTACCTGAGCAGTGTTGGCCATATTTAGGAGATGAGTTAACACCAATCCATTGTTAGTCGATTTTACGCTATTGCTGCCATGTTGGCTACCATGATAAGGCAAGTACATAATACCGTCGACACGCATGCTCATCAAGGGACACAATTCCATGTTACACCAATATTGGCCACTAGAGGGCAACACCGCAGCCATACATACACACGCCGACAACAAATGGCGAAACGTTTATACAATGCAAGGCTAAATAAATACAAGAAGAGTAAATTCACTTTCCTTGTTAAAACTCCTTAGAATACGAATAGAGGGGTGTGCATATTTTGGTTGCTATCCATAGCCCACCTTTATCATAGACCTGCCAATAAATACTTAGCGGAATATACCTGGTCTATTGGAGGAATTTCATACGCAGTTTCATTTTTATTCAAGTTAGTTAAGAAGAAATGTATTTAAATTTTAAAATATTAGCAAAAAGATGCTTTCCATCAACAAAATTTATTTCCTGTCTTAACGGTTCAAAGATAAAATAACTATAGGAATAAAAAGTTCTCTAGTATAATAATACAACTGCATGTGTAGTATACAGTTTATGTCACTGATTTATCGAATTCAGACAAATTTGAAAACGTAAGTTCAATTTCCATTTAATGTTCGCAGTGAACTTGTGAATCAGATATAGTCAACATTTCTACAAGTTAATAATGTGAAAATACAGGAAGTGTGCTTAAAAATGTCGAGGTGATATTACATTTTAACTCTGAAGAAAATATTTTTATGTGCAGATTGAAAAACCCCTCTATTTGTTTTTTAATCTCTGAAAGTGAATTTTTGGCCAATTGTCATTGGTATCACCAATTTTTAGAAGTTGCAACAGATTGCGTGCGGATTAAAAATCACTATTTGTTTTTGTTTTTTGTAAATCTCTGAAAATGAATTTAGTCAATTATTGTTGGTATCACAAATTTAGAAGTTGCAACTGAGCCACTTCAGATAATATTGCATATATACGAAATTATTATGTATTATACATCAGATTCGTATACAAATCCGTGGCTACTATGATGAACTATATCCGGCAGCAAGGCCTCTAATCTGGAGATCAAAGGTTTTGAGGAGTTTGAAACTATGGAATCCTCCATACTTGTCTGTCACCCCCTACAGGAAGATGCACTCTTCCCCAAATTAACCTTTAACCAATCATCACTTCACTTTTCCAAACTCAACTTCCCACTGGTTAAAAGGACACAAGAGTGTAACAAGTTGAGACAAATCCTTTTTTCCCTGCGCAGCTGTCTGGAGCCTATTTGAAAACCCAGAAATCTATAAAAAAGAATCGCTCGACTTGATTCAAGTCAGTCAGACACTGAGTTTCGAGAGATGCCAGCAGACTCCACGCGTGCCAACACACTGACTCAATAACACTACCAGCCTCTCACCAACTCAACACAACTTGCACTACTATTGCCACGTGAAGAAACTTAACTTACAGTTTATCACTACGAAATAGTAATTGTATATTTTATAAAAATATATAATATATATTGTATATATATATTTTATAAAGCATATCAGTCAAAGTCACACAACTCTTCATAATTTGAATCAACACTTACAATTATTACACACTATTATTTGAACTCACACAATTGACATTTTACCTTGTAGAAATCAAACTGTTTTAATTTCACAAACAAACTTAAACCATCAACATTCATTCACCAAATCTCTGCATGGACACTCTTTGCAATCTTATCACATTTGCCACGTTTAACAAGCAACCTATCATCACTTTGTGTATGTCAAATATATATATAAATTCAGGTTATTGTTGAAATCTATAACTACATTGTTTTTCCTTGATTTCTTCAAGTTGTATTGTCTTCATATGTTCGTTTAATTTATTTGTTGTAGATAAACGCATAATGTACACACACATTTTAGGCCTTCACACAATTTCAGCTTCTGACACATCTTACTTAGCATAAATTCCGCAAAAGAACCATCTCTTAATTGCTGTTGTTCCAAGGTTCACCCTGACCCGGGGTAGTAACACCTGTTAGGCAAATAGTGAACTCCCAAGCAAAAACAAAACACTAAAAGTATAAAGTGTGGGGGTAACACAACAACTCAACTGATAATAGCAGGTAGGAACAAAAAAAAAACGTGAGGAGGGTAGCCGAAAAACCCGGTGTCACACGTCCAACCTTCTCACAAGCCAAAAGCCCTCTGATCCGAAACAGCAAAACGCACCTGCTTTATACAGCCGAGGACCAACCATGATTTGCATGCGAATGACGAGACGAGATTTCGTGTTAACTAACCGAGACCGCCCGGCATAAAATATGGGCGCCGCCATTTTGGTTCCTTTTACCGCTAGAAAACTGGAGTTTGCACAGCACACAGATTCGCAGGCGTTTCCGAGGTAGGCCATTTTCACAATTTTCCCCACAATAGGCTACATTTTTATAGAAAAATTACCAACAATACATTTTTAAAGCAAAATGACCAACAATACATTTTTAAAACAAAATGACCAACAATATATTTTATAGTAGGCCAACAATACATCTTATCTGTAGTTGAAGGCATACAATTACTTTGAAAATATTTAGATTTCGACATTAAATAATAGAGGTTGATATGCCACTAAACAAAATCAACCAACAAACCCCAAGTATGCAAATCCACTACAACAGGGGGCCATCCTGCCAGGCTGTACCTCTCTTTTAGGAGATGGCTGGGATCGTTATTTGGCAGCTGACGTGTCTACAATAGGGGAAGTGCTGAGGGGTCTTGAGCAATTTTTGAAATCCCACACTAAACTTGACCTTGTATCACATTTCATAAGACATGGGTATACAGATAAATGGCAAGACAAATTCACTGCAATTTTGCCAACCTTAATCAACAGCTCCAAGTTGTAGTTATAATACTTTCGGTGGTTTACTCTAATGAAATCTGCACAAGTCTTACTATCATTTACTTTAATAAATATGGCACAATCATAGCACTTATAAAAAATGACAGTATTATTTACATATGAATTGGCACTTCTAACTAGGATCAATGTAATATCTGTACATTTTGTCTCAGATCAAAATGTTGTTTTTTAGCTTTTCAGCAAAGGATCAATGATGTCTGCTCTGTGAGAAGTCTATTTATCTATCATTCTTCCCTCCAGAGCTTAGTGTACTGATGATGAGAGGGGCTATGCTGATGACATAGGCATTTACAGACAGGATAAGAATGATCTTGAACAAAAAAAATCAACATTCTTTACCAAGTGCTCTAAGAATTAGGACAAGATAAACCTTTCCAAAACAGAAACTATGATATGAAATTGGAATGAAAGTAATGGCATATATGCTTATAGGAATTAAATCCTATATATATTTTTCAACCAATAAAATCTCATCAGAAGGCTTTTTTGGATAAACAATAATTACTAAAGCAAATACTTCCAAAATACTTGCAAACGTAGTTGTAAACCTACCACATGTTATTTTTGGACTACTTAAAAAATAAAATAATAACTCCCTTCACCACTTCCACAAATTTGATAAAAAGATTTTCATGAGCCAGTGTGAAATTATTTTCTAACTAATGAAAGCCTTGTATTCAAAAAGTCCACACCTCTATGTGAAATTAGATTTGTATCTCCTTATCAATATAAAAATAGAAGCATACTTCTTCTCAAGATTCAAAACAATTTCAGAGACAAGTTTGATCTACATGTGCATACACATGCACACTCTATCGGCAATATATATAGAACCTTTTTCTCTGATTAAAAATGGCCACAAGCAAATGAATCTTTGAAGTTTTAAAGATAATCCTTCATCAGATCTCATAGACGCCACTACAGAATCACAAAGAACATTAACAAATAATGAAAACCACACCACTTGAAGACTTCCAACAACAACTAAAATGGATAGTAAATGTAGCTAGAAGGGAAAATAATGATAGAGTGGAGCTATATATAGGAAGGAAACACCATCAGTATTAGAAAGAGAGATAACTGAACATGAGAAACTGTTTTTTCTAAAAACTGTTTTAAGAAAAAGATTTTATAAATTTCAACTGACAGCAACAATAACTGTTGAGTCAATGAATGCCAAATATTTCCTTGTAATTAAATAGATAATCTCACCATTACTATTACCATTGATTTATCTATGATGATGATGGCTGTCCCATCAATCAATGAGCATATCTGTCATTCAGCTTTATGTAACCATGTATTCTCTATGAGCATGGACGTATGGCCATGTGGTTAGAACGTTCGCTTTCTGACCATGAAACCTGGGTTTGAATCTCACCATGGTCGATTTGCCGGGAAGGCAACTTTTTGATGTTATCAGACGGGATCAAGGTTGATCCCAGTGTGTGGCACCTTCAGAAAGTGCCTGAAAACCATACTACGGCTTGACCCAGGCCTTGTGAGTGAAATTGGGTAGATGGAACTATTGTGGTCTATTAATACCTGTGCTAGCATGAAGCCACAAGTCATCATGTCTAAGGTCTTGAGCGTGCTGGCCTTGTTCAAATTGTTGATCACGCTAAATAACACGCTCTTTCCCAGAAACTGGACCTAAGGTCTGCTTAACATAGTTACAGTATAAACCACAGGTGGGCTCTGTGGATGTTGAGTAAACACAAATGTACCTGAGCAGGTGTCTGCAATAGGGATTGGTTAGCCGTCCTAGTAGATGGGTATCCTTGAATACAAGTGGCCAGCTATAATTGTTCTCTATGATTGATTAATACTTTCATTTTTATATAGGACATACGCTGTTGTAATAAAAGAGAAGGAGCCAACATTAAATAAGATATCTTTCTCCATTGGGGATTGTATATTGAAATGTGGTTAAAAAAATACACATAAAAATTTCAGTTGAACCATTTAAATGACATCATCTTGAGTGACTTGAAATTGATAACATCAAACGTGAGTATGCAGGAATTAAAAAAAACAGTTGTGTAAATATACACAGAGCACAATCCTTAAAAATGAATGTAGCAACATTCAAAAGTACTCTGAAAAAAATAAATATGAATATGAACTTTGACAAATTTACAAATAATATAAAACAACTAATTCAAAAATTTGAAAAATTTAATAAAAAAATTAATAGACAGAACTTGTTGAC